AGTAATTTTAGCTAACATATCATCTGAACACTACCAAGAGAGTAAAGTTAATAAGCATCTTAAAAAAGTAATAAAAATTTATGGAAGTGAAAATTTAATTGTATTTAGTGCAACTCATAGAAGTACAGATGAGGAGTTGGCAACTAAATTTGTAGATAAACTAGTAAAGGCAGGTTATGAAGCTTTAGACTTAATAAATTACTTTACAGCAGGTAAAGATGAGGTAAAAGCATGGACTATTAGAAAAGGAATGAAATCACCAGAAGCAGCAGGTGTTATTCATACAGATTTTGAAAAATATTTTGTAAGTTCAGATGTAATGAGTTACAGTGATTTTGTTGAACATCCAAGTGAAACCAAAATGAAAGAAGCAGGTAAGTTAATGTAAAAAGGTAAACAATACGTTGTTCAAGATGGAGACATCATGTTTTTTAAATCAAATGTCCCAAAAAATAAAAAGAAATAAAAGATTTAATAATTATTTTAAAAAAATTTGATTTAAAAGATTATGAAAATAATATCAGAACAACAACAATTTATAGAGACACAATTAAATCCTTATGAATACATACAAACATATGTAAATCTTTATGAGAAACAGAGATATTCACCACTTAAAGTATTTCCAACATCTTCTAAGTATTATGATGAGTTTCAATATGAGTTTATTAATTTTGCTTTAAAACACAGCACATCAATTAAAGAAATAAATATTCTAATTGATCTTTTAGAACATTTAAAGGAGGAATTTAGTGATTTTTATAATTTTTGTATTGAAACTCTTTTTAAAGGAATTAATCTTAAATTACACGAGTTAGAGATTAGTTTATTTGATCTTAACAATGATTATTCTAGTGTATCACTTCTCTATACACACACTCTTTTTAATATTGATTTTTATCCACTAATTGTCTATAAAGCTTTATTATTTGATGAAATTAAACAAGCATTACAATACTCATTTGAATTAGTTCATAATATTAACAAAACTATCAGGAGGTATAAATTATGTAATTTAATGGAAAATCTAACCACTAAAAAGACAAATGGAGAATTTATCAATCTAAATGATCTAAATGAGTTTGATTCAATTATTGATTCTTCTTATAAAAAAGATTTAATCAATTTTAGTGATGAAGAAATTAATAGAACTAAAAAGTATATTAAAGTAAAACCAGGTGATTTAATTAATGGTGAGAACAGAATATTAACATACACTTTTGAAACATTCTTATTACTTTACTGGAATAAATTCAAAGAAGAGTATTCTAATTTGACAAATTCAGATTTTTATATCAAATTAATTGATTTAGCCTCAGAAATTGATAATTATCCAAATTGTGATAGAATTGTTAATGAAATTAAGAAGTACGCTGATTATATATTAAATACAGCAGAAATTAAAGATTTGATTAATTTCCAAATTAACGAAACAGATCATCAGATAGAATTTAATGGAAAATAAACTTCTTATTAAAAATTTTAATAAAAATTTTAACCCCAAATAAAATGGCTAATAAAGCAGCAACACCAGTAGTAACTAAAAGAGATAAGCTTCCAAGGAAGAATAGATTTAAAATATCAGCAGGAGTACAGACAGGAACTAGAATTAAAAACGTAGATAACTCAGGAGTTAAAGAAGTTGAAGTAATTGGTGTAATAGGATACAGAGGTATAATGAATAGACTACCTCGTGCCTCAGTGTCAGACATAGTTGTAGCCTCAGTTAAAAAGGGTAAGCCAGAATTGAAAGGTAAAATAGTATACGCTTTGATAATCTCTCAGAAAATGGTTATTCGTAGAAAGAATGGTGAACGTATCGCATTTGAAGATATCAGATCAATAATTCTTGATAGTAGAGGTGATCCAAGAGGTACCGGTAGTGTAAATTCACCGGTAGCTAAAGAGGTTGCTGAAAAGTTTGCAAGAGTCGGTTCAATGTGTTCTAATATTCATTAAATTTTATTTGTCAAAATATCTTCTTAAATTATTTCTATTTGATTTTTCTTTCTCATTAATACACTCATTGACATGTTTTTGATAGATAAAATCACTCTCATGTATGAATGGTGCATTACAAATTATACAGGTACGTGGGTGTATTGGTTTAGGTTTTATTTTATTGATTGGTTTTAAGTAACTTGTTATTTTTGGTAATTTACTACTTACAAGTGATGATATGCTAATACCAACTAATCTAATTTTATCTTCTACCATTTTTTCATCATCTTTTATCGTAACAAAATTATTTTTAAATAAATCATAAGCGATATTAAAAATGTCTATTAAATCTTTTAATAAAAAACTACTCTTCTTTTGTCTGGTTTTTTGTTTAAAAGTAGTAAATTTAATTGTTAATGTAACAACTGATCCATAATATTTCTGTCTTTTCATTCGATAGTAAACTGAATTTGCTAGTGTCCATAAGTGCATGCAAATATCCCTGTGATCATTAGTAGGTTTAATTGTCCATCCATTGCCTATTGAGTGGTTTTTAGAGTATTTTTTCCCATTTAGGAAATGACTATAATCAAAATTTGATAATCCATAAGATAATCTCATTATATTAGTAAATGACTTTTCAGGCAACATTAAATAAATCTTATGTAATTCATTTCTTAATTGTTCTATAGTTTTAATTTTTAATGTTTTAAACAACAACTCTTTAGTCATTTTACCAATTCCATTGATTTTATCAACTTCTAATGGAAATAAAAATCTATCAAAGTTATTTTTTATTTTAAAAGACCCGTTGGGTTTGTTAATATTCGAACTAAATTTAGCCAACCCCCTACAGACTGATAAACCAGCACTAATTGTCAATCCACCTGTATTTCTATGTACAACATTTCTAATTAAATCAACTAATTTATGAACGGATTCAAAATTAAATCCTGTATACTCAACATAGTCAGTTCCTAAACTTTTTCCAAATCTAGAATTTTGATTAAAAACGTTATAAGCATGTCTCAATTTATTTTCATCAAAAACAAGACAAGCTTCATCAATTCCATAAATTTCAACATTCTCATCATAAATAGATAAAATACCCATAACAATCTCTGAGTAAAAATTATACTTATCAAATGAACATTTAGTTATTACAAGATGAGGACAGAGTTTTTTAGCATGATAACCAGGCATGCCAGCCTTGATATTAAATTCCCTAGCTTTATAGTTACATGCAGCAAGCATAGTTAAACTACCAACACCCAGTGGAACATCATTATACTCAGGATGTAATAAAGTTTCTACTGATGCATAAAAAGAATCCAAATCAACATGAATATAAACTTTCTTAAATTTATCAGGATTAAACAAAACAGGCCATTCTCTCTTTATTTTATTTTCAGTCTTAACAACATGAACTTTAGCTAAACCCAATCTGTGCTCATTTTCAGTTAACTTTAATTTTAATGCCTCAGCTCTATTAGAAACATTAATAAGCTTATTTTCTTGATTTTCTTCAAAAGCCTCATCATTTTCATTGAAAACAACAAACTTAACTGGCTTTCTCCCCTCCATAAAAACAAATAATTAATTTTCTAAAATTTTATTGTTTCTTTCTTGAATTTAATCCTTCAACAAAACTTCCAATACAAACATTACCGTTACATTTACAACATCTAATAAAAAATAATCTGTTCTCTCTAATAATCTCAGTAGAATCTTCGTTATTACAACTTTTACATTTTACAAAATTTTCTATGAAGTTTTGTACTTCACTTTCTAACTCTCCTTGTGAATACTTACCATCTATTATCAAAAACCCTGCTTCATTAAGAGTTCCTGTAGAATATAACCTATTTAGTATAAAAGTTTTTAAGTGATCTACATCCCGACCTATTTGATTAGCTATTTTTTGTACATTGAGCATGGTTTTACGATTCTTCCTTATTGCCTTAACTGTGACATTCAATTTTTTACTATTGTCCGTTTGTTTCTTTAGTATTTCATCACATCTAGCCAATAAGGTTGTATATCTCATTTTGTAAGGAAGATTAAACTCATCTTCTTGTATTTCACCCTGGAATACATTCTGAGTTATAGGTTGTAATTTGCCACTAAGATCTGTTAAGTGTGTTGTTGATAGCCCTATGGGTAATACTGGACCACAACTATCTTCACTGCTACTATCTGAATAATTCATTTATTGAGAAAAATGGATTGAAAAAATTTCATAAAATTTTATTCTATAAAAAAATAAACTGATAGGTTTTAATTAGTTATTTTCTAAAATTAATAATTAATAATTAATAATTTAACTTCCCAATTTAGAAATGAAATTTAAACAAAGAAAATGATTCTTTAAATTTATTATTTTTGATGAATGAAGAAATTTTTAAATAAAAATCAATAAATAATGATGTGTTTATAGAAGAAAATTACTAATAAAAGAATAAAACATTAAGTTCAAATGTTTTATTTGTTAAAAGTCTAATTACACTGATAATAAACTTTTTATTGAAACAAACAAAATTTGAAACAAAATAAAAAACTTTCTGATGCATAACAAATAATGAATATCGTTATAGAACCTTTTACAATACTTTTATCAGCATTTGCAATATCAATGAATATATTCCTATTTGGGTATTTTATTCATAAAAGAATAGCCCTTACTAGTCATCAAATCAAACTACAAATTTACACATTAATCTTTTTTATTTTATATTTATCATACTTTATATCTCTTTTAATTAAGTCCTACAATCAACAGGTATGGGAGTATGACTTATCTGAGTATTTTAAGTCATCAAAAAAGCTACAAATATTAACTGAAAGTTTTCTTAAGGGACTAGTCATACTAATTTTTAATTTGTTTGTTTTAGGACTTTCCGAATTAGACACACTTTTTATTAATGAAAGTAAAATAACTAAGATTGTTACAATTGGATATTTTCTTTTAAGGATGTATCCAATTGGGGTTATCATTACAAAGGTAAAATCAGATTATGAACTAGCCATAACATTTTATGAATCATTTGCTATTGCCGAATCAGGAATTCTTTTATTAGGATTTATTTTTTTATTAAATAGATTTTTACATGTTGATAGTGAATTAATAGAAAATAACATAATTGATAGGTTTGCACTACAAAAGTTAATTAACAAGTTAAAAATGATTTGTAAAATAATTTTATTTGGATTGATTGGTGATATTGTTTACAGAATTATACTAATTTTTTTAGCATCAAAAGATAAAACTAATAATCTTTTACTTTTAAAAGATTTTACTTTATTTTTAAGAATTTCCTCTTTTGAGTCAATAATCATAGGATCACAATTAGCCTGTTTTTTACCACTCACCAACAGTAAGAATGTTTTAACAATGATAAGAGATGCACTAAATGAAAAGAAAGACTTATTAAAAGATTTATTTGAGTACTCAACAACCAGAATGGAAGACAGCACTTATGATGATACAAAAACAGAAAATAATTAAATAAATCAAATTTATTTATGCATCAAATATTTTTGTAAAAGAAAATTTATTAACAAACAAAACAAACCCATAAATGTTACTTAAGAGAAATGAGAATGTAAAAACGATAAATAAGTATAGTTGGAAACCATCAACTAAATATTTTGATTATCAGTCTACAACACCTATGGATAGTAGAGTTATAGAAGCAATGTTACCATACATGACTGAAGTGTTTGGTAATCCACATAGTAGAACACATTCGATGGGATGGAATGCAGAAAAAGCAATGAATGATAGCCGTAAAAAAGTAGCAGAAGTAATAAATGCAGATTCATCAGAAATAATTTTTACTAGCGGAGCAACAGAAGCAGATAATCTTGCACTAAAGGGATTCTCAGAGTACTATAATTATGATCTTCATATAATAACAGCACAGACAGAACATAAAGCAATATTAGAGGCATGTCGATACCTGGAAGATAAGGGTGTTAAAATAACTTATTTACCAGTTGATGAAAAAGGACACGTTTGTATTAAAAAGTTAAGAAGTGCAATAACACCAAAAACAAAACTAATATCAATAATGGCAGTTAATAATGAGATAGGAGTAGAGAATAATTTAGATGAGATAGGAAACGTATGTAGAGAGAAGAATATTGTGTTTCATACTGATGCAGCACAAGCTTATTCAAAGATTCCAATTGATGTAAAAAAGTCTAATATTGGAATGTTAAGTATATCAGGACATAAGATATACGGACCCAAAGGAATAGGAGCTTTATATGTCAGGAGGAACCCAAGAGTACGTTTAGTTAAACAACTGCATGGAGGAGACCAAGAGAGGGGTATTCGTTCAGGAACAGTTCCTGTATTTTTAGCAGTCGGATTGGCTAAGGCAGCTGAAATATCAAATAGTAATCAGAAAGAAGAGACAAAGAAACTTAAACATTTGAATGCTAAGTTTATAGAAACACTCACTAATGAAATGGGGAATGAATTTATAATAAATGGAAAGAATACATTTCCTGGGTGTCTTAATATTTCATTTCCATATGTGGAAGGAGAAGGTTTATTAATGAAACTTAAAGATTATGCATTGAGTAGTGGTAGTGCTTGTACATCAGCATCATTAGAACCTTCTTATGTATTGAGAGCTTTAGGAAGATCAGATGATTTAGCACACTCTTCTATTAGATTTGGTTTTGGAAGATTTTCTACAGAAACAGACGTTATTAATTTAGCAAAGAAAACTGCATCAGCTGTTAATAATTTAAGAGAAATGTCTCCTCTTTATGAAATGGCAAAGTCGGGAATTGATCTTAGTTCAATCAAATGGACTGCTTAAATTTTTAATAAAAATAATTTTTTATTAAAAGTTTTTTAATTCAAAAGAAAATGAGAAGAAGATTTTTTAAAAAGAATAATGATAATGATAACAACAGTGATTATAAGAATAACGTTATTAATACTAATAATCAAGAAATTTTATATGAAAGAAAATTAATTTTAACTACAAATAAACCATCAAAAAAATTAAAAATGATTTGTAAACATTTAAGAATGTTATTAAGACCTCATTCACTTTATAAAATGAAAGAATTTAATATTCCAATTAAAGATGTTATTAAAGATTCTGAAGAATTATCAGTTGCTCATATTATTTATTGTATGGAAAATAAGTTAATTATCGGTGATAGAAAAGAAAAAGTTAGTTATTATTTTGATTTAGTTGAGTATGAAAATAATTTTAAAATGTTTAAAGACTTTTATTATAAAGATTCCCCTTTTGTTAAAATTTATTATAACAGAAATGATATGACTGATGATCAAATTGAAATTGATAAAGAATTAAGTAAAGTGTTTGAAAAGTTTGGTACAGTTGAATCAAAATTAAAAGATTTTAAGAGATTGTTACAAATCTTTTTTGAAAATGGATTGATTTATATAAGACATTACTGTTATTCTATTGAGGATGTTGAGAGTAATTTTAAGGTTAGTTTAAGAGAAATTGGACCAAGATTTACTTTAAAGTTTATTAAGAAGGAAGAAAATTTATTAAAAGAATTTGTTAAGAGAAATAAATAAAGTTTTTATTTAAAAAAATTGATATTTCTTTTAGTGTGTCTATAAATTTTGACATTTTGATATTTTTATTTATCCAAGGTGAAATATTTTGTATAAGTTTTGTGTATCTTTGATCAAATAATACCATTGCTGAATAATCATTTTTATGTCTAACAGCCCTACCTAATGCTTGATTAACTAATCTCATTGCACAGTTAATTCCATAATTTTTATCTTCTTTACTTCTTTGTTCATATTCAATTGTCTTTAAAGGATATGGAATACCAACTATTATTAATAATCTACACATATCATCTGAAAAATTTATACCTTCACTTAATTTACCTCCCATTACAGCTACTAAAACTTCTGGGAGTGTATTAAAATAAGAAATGTTAAAATTATCTTCATAATAAATTCTTCTTTTAGATAACTCTGTTAAATTTAATTTTTTAAATAATTCTAAATAAAATTTTGATGGAACAAATATTATAACACCACCTCTTTTAACTAGATTTGCTAGAGTTATAACGGTTGAAATCACTTCACTAAAAATCCTTTCCCTACTTTCAAATGTCAATTGAACTTTCTTGCCTAAACTAGTTTCACTAAGTATAATTGGTAAAATATTCTTATTAACTGATTCATAAGAAAAATAATTTAGTTTTTTATCGAACAATCCATCAAATTGTGAAGTTGGTTCCATTGTACCTCCTGCAAAAATAATTGACTTACACTTGTTGATTTCTTTAAAATACATTTTGGCGTTGAGTGGTGTAAACTTTATCCTTTGATTATCAAATAATACAATTGCTTTATCATCACTCCAAATTAGCAATTTTAAAAATTTTGAGAATGTAAAAATTGCAGTATTGTCATTCCTTTGGGCAACCTTATTATCTTTAAGATATTGATCAATATCAAGTAAATCATATTGCATTAGTTTAGCTTTCTTAATAAACTCGATAATATTTAAATAACTCTCCTTATCTGATTTCATACTTAACAATTTGTTAATAATTTCTATAATTTCCTTATTTAGAAATTTAGAATAAATTATTTTCTTAAGATCAGTATATTTAATTTCAACTGTATTTAACTGAATAACAACATCATAGATATTATGTGCTTCATCTACTATGAGTATTTTATCTGTTAAATCAACCTGTAAACTATCCCTACCTTCTTTAGTAAAAATTAAATTGTAAGGTAAAAGAACCAATTCACATTCATCAGCTTTTGATTTAGAACTGTAATACGGACAAAAGTGATCTTTAAGACCCTCAATTTTAATTTCTTCAACTGTTAATGTTTTATTAGAATAGTAACTATTTTTATAATAATCACATTTTTCATTCTTTATTAAATCTCTACATTTTTCATTAAGTTGTTCTATATCAATATTAAGCTTATTTATTTTGTTAATACAATATACTTTTCTAGATCCTAAAATAACAGTTTTGAAATTAACACTCGCCTTTTTAAACTCCTCTAAAACTTGATTTAGTTGTGAATGAGTTCTTGAACAATAGTAAATTTTAGTTTGAGATCTACCACAAATAAAATTAAACAAATCATCATCAGATTCATTTAAAAAATTAAAAGCTACTGATAATAATGAAATAGTCTTACCAGTGCCAGTTGGACTACTAAATATTCCAATTTCATTTGATTTAATAGTTTCTATTCCATCTTTAATAAAACTCTTTTGAACATCATAAAGTTCTCTATTAAAATAATTCATTAAAATTTTTATAAAAATTTTTATATAAAATTACTTTATTAAAAATTTTAACCCAAATTACTCAGGTTTATATCATATAAACTACTATCACTTTTTGAAGACCAAAATGGTATATCATCATAATAGTAATCAATTTCATTTTCCATGTAAAGATCTTCACTACAACAGTTACTACATCCATACATACAGTTACAATTAGATACATCAGAAAGATCAGTTAAATTATCAACATTTGAGTTTGTTTGTGATTGAATTTCTATAATTGGTTTTGGTTTTAAAAGAGTACATTCAGAATCATTTGACTTTGAATCATTTTCACTAGAAAGTCTATTAGATTTATCAAAAAAGAAATTAGAACTTTGATCTTTTGATTTTTCATCAAAACTGCCATCACTATTTGTAAATTGAGAAGATCTCGTATCGGTATAAAAACTACTTTCTAAAGATTCATAATCAGGGCTATGACATCTACGAAAACAATGTGAACATGGACAGCCACGATAATCACTATCTTCATAATTAGTACTTTCACTTCCTATACTTTCAGAATAATGATCATTTTCATACAAATTCTCACAAGAATTACTAAAAACACCTACAAGATAATTACTTTCTGAATAAATCTCAATTTTATCACTCTCATCACTTCTATCTTTTATACTTATAATTTCAAGTTGATTTTGTTTTTGATTATCCTCATTATTTTCACTCATAAAAATTTCTAATAAATTAAATTTATAGAGAATTAGAATGAAAATTTTTAATCAAAAAACATTTGATAAACTTAATTTATTTTTAAAAAAATTACAGTACTCAACTTTCCCGGATAGTACTTGAATGAGCTCTCAGAGACTTATTTACTGAGATCTAATGGGTTTAGAAGCTTTACTCTGGATATGACCGTAATTATCTATAAAACTAATAAAATATATAAATCACAACTAATTATTAAATAACTTAATTCTTTTACCCCATGAATAACGAAATAAAACAATCAAGATTAAGAGCATGTTTAAATTGTGCAATAATTTTACAGACAAGTGAGTTTAGAAAAAACGGATGTCCAAATTGTAAATTCTTACAAACGGAATATAAAACTAACTATCAATCTACCACATCAACATCATTTACAGGTCAAATTTGTTACAAAGACACAAATAAAAGTTGGGTAGCTAAATGGCAAAGAAATCAAGGAAATATAAGTGGTTACTATGCAATGACAGTAGAAGGTGAATTACCAGATGAGTTTATAGAAAAAGTAGAATTAAATGGAAAACCATATTTCAATAGAAGTAATTCATTTACAATTGAATAAATTTATTAAACTCTATTAACAATTAAACGTACAACATTACCATCCATCAATCCAATAATAATTTCATTACCAACAAAGACCATTGAATAGCAATATAATTCACCTTTATCAGCAAATGCAAAATCACCAACAATACTGTCTTTAATAACATCATAAACTAAAACCTTATTAGGAATGGCAACTGCCAATAATGGTTGGTTGTTACTGAATGCAAGTGAAGTTATTCTATCAGAAACATTCAAAGATACTAAAGGTTCTTTATCATTAAGATTGATAACATGAACATGTGAATCACGTCCACCATAAATCATAATAGAACCATCATCAGAAAAACAAAGTGATTTAACTGCGTTATTAAAATCTGATCCTTTAAACTTAACATCCTTCTTTGTGTCTTTATTCATGATTAGTCCCTGAGAGTAAAAATTAATTAAAGCTTCTGTTTCAATGTCCCATGCCTTTACCATTCCATCTTCTGAGGCTGATACTATCACTTCTTTGTTTGGTAAAAATTCAACTACATTAATAACCTCTTTATGTCCATTCATATCATTAGTAAATACTTTTAAAACATTACCATCTATGTCGTAGATTATGAAAGTACGGTCCCATGAACATGTTGCTATTTTACTACCTTCCTTATTTACGGTTACATGAGTAATATCTTTAGTGTGTTCAACAACTTCTTTACTAAAATTTTCTCCATCAATAATAAGCTTATCTCCACTAATAGAAATTGTTCTATCAAATTTTTCACAATAAATAGAGCGTTTTACTGGTTTAGTGAATTTATTAAGAACTTTACATATTCTTGATGGAACACCACAGTTCTCATCACTAAGTTCATAAACAACTGCTGCTTTATTACGATGAGCTATTAAAATTCTTGACTTACCATTCACTGGTGGTACTGAAACTATCGATTCTATAGCTTCTTTACACACTGAAAATTCTTCTCTTTTTCTGATGCCTACTACCATTTTATGGGTTTAAAATTTTTATTAAAATTTGTTTGTTTTGAACCCATAAAATGTTAAGTGCATTATTTGTTGAAGACAATGAAGTAGCAGTTGATGAATCTTTAATTAATAAAGATCCTGAATTGGCCTGTAAGTCTCTAATATCACAACAATCTAAGGGTAACTTCAATCAAGATCTCTTATTCCCTATTTCTAACGCTATCATGACATCTAAGAATAATAAGGTTAAGAGGTTGTTTTACTATTATATGGAGACTATTGTTAATGAAGAAGCTTTTATTATGTGTATTAGTCAAGTTAATAAAGATCTTGAAAGTCCTAATGAATATGTAAGAGGACTGGCTTTAAAGTTAGTTAGTAAATTTAATCTTGATCACATCAATCTTAACATCATTAAAGAAAATCTTAATCACAATTGTTATTATGTAAGAATGAATGCTGTTAGTTGTTTAATTACATTAGCATTAAGGTTTTCATTTGATATTAAGAATGATTTAATTAGGTTATTAACTAGTGAAAGAAATAGTAAAGTTATTAATGTTATCTTTGCTGGAATGAGCCAATTAAATATTTCAATAGATCAGTACTTAAATGAAAATTATTCAAATGAAGTTTTAATTATGTTAGTTAAGTTGACTGAGAATAGTCAGTTTATTAGTAAATTGATTAGTTCTGATAACAATGAATTAACTTTTATTTCTAATTGTAAGTTAATTAAGATTGGTTTTATTGATAAGGCAAATTATCAGAGAATTTTAGGAATTTTAAAATTTAACACTAAATTTAGAAAAGACTTCTTGCCTTACATTGAATACTTAAATGAAGAACTGTTAATTAACATTCTTGAGTTGGTTGATCCATTTGAGTATCAGTTTAGTACTAAAATTATTGACAAGTGTATTAATGAAGTTTCTATGAAGAATCATTCTTTAATCAATGATGTTCTATTTAGAAAGTATAAAGATACTAGTTTTACTGAAGGTGATCGTTGTGTATTCAAGATTATGTTATTAGAAAAGATGTGTATATTAACTAAAATATGTTACATCTATAATGATGAGTTATTAGATGAAGCTTTAACTGCTCTTAAACAAAGTGATCAACCTGAAATATTATTTGCTTATCTAAAGTATGTAGGTGAAATTCAACAAGTCAGTAATGATGATAAAATTACCAACAGTTTAATTGATTTAATTTTAATTGTCAAATATGGAAAGATTCTTAGAACTTGTCTTGATGTTATTTCATATAATGTGAATGTTGATAATTATACTAAGATTGTTGATTTGTTTATTGATTTATTAAATGATAAATCATTAGCTAATTCTTTTGCTGATAAATTCGAAACATTTATACTTTCATATATTTGCTTATCTGTTTGTTCTATGTATAAGAAAGAATTTGATTGTAAGGCTAAAGTGATTGCTATGGTTCTCAAAAGTATACAATTTGGTAAAGAATCTAGAATTATGGATGCATCATCTCATTCAACCTTATTAACTGTATTAAGAAGTTTTATTAATGATAGTTGTGATTATAAACCAACAGATTTACTAATTGAGAAAGTTAGTGAAAAATCAGTATTTGATGTAATTAACTTTAAAATTTTAAATAGAAATTCTATTAGTCATGTTAAAAATATTAGTGAATCTACTGATGCAGTTAATACATCTACGGTGCAACTTACTAGTATAAGTGATCCTTTATATGTTGAATGTAATGTTAGTTTTAGTAAATATGATTGTTTATTAGATTACTTGATAATAAATCAAACAAGTCATACTTTACAATCATTAGAATTTGATTATGTTTACTCACCACAACTATCACTTATTAATGGTAATTTTCCTTTATCGATAGCACCTGAATCTGCTATTACAGTTAAAAATCAATTTTCAGTTCTTGAAAGTAGTTCATCATTTATATCAGGTACAATTTCTTTTACTTACAGAGATAATAACATTCTTAAGCAATTCTATCAACACTTGTCTGAAATCAAATTAGACATTAAAAACTTTTTAATTCCAACAACAACTGATTTCATTGAGAAGTGGAAAGCACTAGCATGGGAGAATGTTTATAGCGCTGAACTTGAATTAAATGATCTTGACATAACATTACAAAAGCTTATTAAATCAGTAAATGGAAACTTATGTGATAAACAATCAATATACAATTTTTTAGTAGCAAATGTTGCTTGTCAAACAATTCAAAAAGGACTTATATTAATTAATATTTGTATGAATGAGAAGAGTGGAATAGAAATAAGAGTAAGATCATCAAAAGAATCAGTAGTTAAACTAATAAGTGGTTTATTAAGAAATACCATTAAGAGCTTATAACTGTTAAATAAATCATTTTAAAACGTTTGTTTCTTAAAACAAACAAATAAAAATTTATGTTTTAAACTTAAAATGACAATAAAATATTTCAATTCATTAATCAATGTAAAGAACACAAAAGAATTATATAATAAGTGTATTAATCTAGCAAACAAAGAAGAAGTT